TTTTTTTTTTTTTTTTTTTTTGGGCACAAGTGCACAGCGAACGGTGCACTTGCCGAATTCATACGTAGCAAACGAGAAATTTCCACTCGATCGAAGATTGCACGTTGATCGATTTTTTGTATCATTGTGGCCTAATAGAGTGGTAGAGACAAGGAGGGGACCTCGTAAAGTATCGGGAGATTTTATGTTATTGACCCCCCACCTCTCACCCCGTAGGAGCGATCATAATTTAATCCGCATTTCGACCGATCGCTCTATATAAATAAATCCTCTCTCTCTCTCTCACTTTGATTAAGATCGCAATTCATTTTATCTTTGTCCTGTCATTCGAGTATTCGCGAATCGATTGCCTTTCAATACGTTTGACGCGCGTACTGCGTGTGTGCTGTTGTCTGTGAGAAGATCGTCGATAATACGTATCGACGATTCGCGATTTACAAAAAAAAAAAAAAAACAGCATCACTTTCGAGGTCCCTTCGACCAAGATTAATCAGATCACGTATCGTGCACGATACACTCAGCTGGACACGCGCGTGCGCTTGGTTTGTGACGTATGGAGTGTCATTGCTTTATGAGGAGGATAAAAACAGAAAACACTATCTCCAGATATTGCCGATAATTATTCAATAAATAATGATACCGACCGTGCATGCTCCGTCTGTAATCTTTCTAGCCGTTTCGGGATTACTAATATTTTTTTTTTAATTTTATTTATTAGGTATATATATATGTGTGTGTGTGTGTGTGTGTGTATATATATATATATATATGCATATTATTTTTCTTTACAGTTTTGTTTGCGTGACGCTTCTTGGGTTTCTTTTCTGTGGATACTTTTACTTTACGGACGCACGTCGGAACGAAACGCTTCCACGATCTTATCTCCCGTTCGCCATGTGAGTGGTTTCTGGAAATTTGGAAGAGAACAAAAAAATGAAAATTCTGCCAATGGATCCCAGTGGGAGCACTCGCATGGCGTGCGCCATTCACGAGATAATTGGGTTTTGATTGTGTAGACATGCGCGCGCCTTTACAACAGTGTTTCAATTGACCACTAACCCTGATTCCTCCGCCCCCCCCCCAACCACCCCTCTCGGACCCAATAATTTCTTGACACACTAATACTTTTCC